GTCTTGAACCAATGTAATATTACTCTTTTTTTCGGTTCTGAGGTGTTGACTCTATCAGAATTCCACTGTAATTTGTTTTATTTGTAATTAAGGCGCTTTTGACAATGACATGAGTCTCATTTTGCCCCCTTATTAGAAACAAAGAGTGTATGCAATATTTTGCTTGAATGATTTACTCTGTTATTTTTTAGTGAATGTAGAACTGCATATTAATACATCATTATGTTCATGTATGTGGGTATGTATGTATGTCATGAATATTAAGTAAAGCGCATAGAACAACGATTGTAGCACGGATTTGCACGATATAAATGTAACATCATTATCATTATTATAAGCGAATAATGCAATGTTACGGGATTTTTAAATTTTTTTTTTGTTTTTTTTATTTTTTTTTTGGGGGGAGGGGGGGGGGGCAGGGAGACAAAAAGGTAAATGACTTAGGGAGTGTATGAGAATCAAATAAATAACGGATGACTTGTGACATACCAAGAGACTCGAGGTGGGACAGAGGTAGATGGAGAGAGACGGAGTAGAAAAACGGACTCAAGACACATACTTACACTCTCACACACACTTACACACACACACACACACACACACACACACACACACACACACACACACACACTCACTTATACACACAAACGCACAGAGACACACTCGCGCACACACACACACACACACACAGACAGGCAGAGAGAAACACACAGACAGTGCGCGTGTGTGCGCGCGCGCATTTGGTCTTAGAACGTCAAATTGTAATGACTTACTGTGAGTAAAAAGTGTGAAAAGAGACCCATGCATGCAGTTTCTGGAAGTTTTCGCTCCGCCACAACCACAGTTTAAAGACTGCCTACTTGTCAGTTTGATTCCATGTAATTGATAAACTATCTGGAGAGTTCTTCGCAGTCTGAACCACCCTGGTTACATGTATATGAACCTCACCATGTTTTCTTTCTATCCTGATTTCTTTGTTTGAGTAAAGAGAAACACATCAACACAACACTGGCCTTTTAGCTCTGGGAAAAAGTAAGATAGGCGGAGAGAAACAAGAGAGGGAAAGTAGAGAAGTGGCGCCGTCCAACTAACCACCCGCTTTCCGTCATGATCAGAGGCGTGGGTAACTTTTTTTGTAGTAGCTGTGTGGAGGGAACTGGTCAATCACAAGGTAGA